ACGGCTTCAACGTGCGCGGGCAGGTCAGCGAGGGCGGGCAGCTGCGCAGCATCCACGGGGAGCTCTACGCGCCGCTGCAGCACGTCAGCGCCGTCCTGGGCGGAGGGGCGGCCGAGCGCGCCGGGGTCCGCAAGGGGGACCGCATCCTGGAGGTGTGAGTAGCCGGCGCCCCCCCCCCCGGGAGGGGCAGGGAGGGAGGGAGGGAGGGAGGGAGGACCACGGCGCCCATCATCCCCGCCTCCGCGGGGGGGCGGCGGAAATGCCCCTCCCATCGTGCACGGCCTCCCCATCACTCCTGGCTGGGAAGAGGGGTAGGACTACAGCATCCATCCTCCCCCCCTTCAGGGGGTGTGCCCCTCCCATCATGCATAGCCTCCCCATCACTCCTGGCTGGGAAGAGGGGTAGGACTACAGCGTCCATCCTCCCTGCCTTCAGGGAGGACTACAGCATCCATCCTCCCCCCCTTCAGGGGGTGTGCCCCTCCCATCGTGCATGGCCTCCCCATCACTACTGGCTGAGAAGAGGGGTAGGACTACAGCATCCATCCTCCCTGCCTTCGCGGGGTGTGCCCCATCATGCACGGCCTACCCATCATTCCTGGCTGAGAAGAGGGGTAGGACTACAGCGCCCATCCTCCCCACCTTCAGAGGGTGTGCCCCTCCCATTATGCACGTCCTCTCATCAATCTTCATCCAGGATTACAGTGCCCATCTTCCCCACCTTCAGAGGGTGCACCTCTCCCATTATCCGTAGCCCCCCCCATCCATCCTGCCCTAGGATAGGACTACAGAACCCAACTTCTCTGCCTTCACGGTGTGTCTCTCTCTTCCCCCCCCCCTTCATGCATAGCCTCTCCTTCAATCTTGGCCCAGCAGAGGGACAGAACTACAGTGTCCATCCTCCCTGCCTTCACAGGGTGAATGCCCCTCCCATCATCCAGAGGCTCCCCATCAGTCCTGGCTGAAAAGAGAGATGGGACTACAGTGCCCATCTGCCCCGCCTTTAGGGGGTGTGCCCCTCCCATCATCCCTAGTCCCCCCCTATCCATCCTGGCCCAGAAAAGGAAGAGGACTATAGTGCCCATCTGTCCCATCTTCCCAGGGTGTGCTCCTCCCATCATCCTGGCCCAGAACCGGGAGAGGACTACATAACTCTGCCTCCCATCACCCCCTGCCACTCTCCTGGAGGGGAGGGCTGACCCCATCCTGTGACCTTATATGCCCTCCGCAGCAGCCCTGGACTCCTATCCCATCATCCTATCCCTGGAAGACTCCCCACCCACAAACCCCACTAGACCCCCCAGTATTTTCCATCCACGATATTTCAGGGGGGGTCTCTGCTCTTCCTAGATCCCCAACTTGTCCATTCCCCCTCCCCAGACAGAGTCTCCCCCCATTTATTGAGCCCACCCCGTTGGAGTTTTAAGGGTGGGCCACAGCTCCCATCATCCACAACCAGCCAAGGGATGCCTTGACCTATGACCCCCACATTCTGCAGAGACAGACTCTGTAGTCCATACCTGTTACTCCTTTTAAAGGGGGGGAGCCTTTGGGGTGGGGCCGGTCTGATAATTATAATTATTTTTGCAAGCTTTTCATTGAAGGGCAGGAAAAAATAAGCCTTTAAAGAGAAAAAGAATCCTTTAGTTACCTGTGTATAAAACATCCACATTTGGGGGAAAAAAACTTAAAGGGACATTTTTTAGCAGGATAGCAATATTTTTATTGTGGCTGGCAATATCCTGGAAGCATGGATGGTCTTCCTTCTTTTTTTTACAACCTAAGCATAATTATTTAGCACAATTGCCCCCGGGCTGCTAGCTTGTCAGATGCAATCTGGGATCACAACTCCCATGAGCCTTGCCCAGCCACCGTGTCCTCGGTGTTGTTACTGCTTAACCTCCATGCCGATTTTTCCAGCCGGGGTTGGGAAAATCTCCTTAAAATGTGGCACATTTTTCCTAAGTCGACCGCATGCTCTCTAGGCAACCTGGGGTTGTTTTTTTTGCCTCTTATGCTTGGAAGGTTCACGCCCACCAGCTGCAAGGAATGGTGGGTGTTGTAGTTCCCAGCCCCTGCAGGATGCCAAGGGGCTGACGCTGTGGATTTGAGGGGGGTCTCCGAGACGTTATGGCGACAGGTCCACGCAGGGAGGTGAAATTGTTCTACTCAAATCCTGATAGGGAAGAAAAGAATAGAATAATAACTTTATTGTCACTTTAAATGTGCACTAATCCGCATACGTGAAAATGAAATTTCGTTGCATTCAGCTCTCAAAACAATACCAGTATGGATATACCACCCACACACACACACAAATGTGACACAGAGAAACAACAGAGACTTCCGCAGACACCAAGTAAAATAATGTTGGCGTTTAAGCCTTTGAGTGTGTCTTGGACCAGTTCTGATCTAAACATTTTTTAATATTCTGACATTTTTTGGCAGGTGTTGCTAGGATCTTACTCTTACATCCCTGTGGAAATAGAACATTGTTAGGCATGGCTGTATATCAGCAACGGTTTGATTAAAGACATGGCTGAATCTTTGTCAGCGGGAATACAGTATTTAAACTCTTTTCTTTTAAAACCCAGGCCTGCTTTTGTTAGCAGGTGGAAGCTTCCGAGGTCATCACTAAAAGGTGATCTTTGACACAGGCACGTACTTACGACTTATTGTTAAATTAGTCGCCCG